AAAAAAACATGCCCAAAAAGCTGTTCAGTGTTTCATCAATTATTCTGTTGTATTTTGCCATCTACTGTGTTTTCTCTTTTGTGTGCATGTGCATATGTTTATTAATTAAGAATAATTCGATGGCAAATCGTTAAACACAACACGACGCCAAACCACATTTAAAAAGTTATTTTCAGATGCCCTTTCACAATGGCTTTCAATTCTATGGGAAATCCTTTGGAAAAATCACTGAAAATTTGCCAATTAAATCAATCTTTCACGCATATCAATTTAATGCAAAATAAAATACGAAGTAAAAATCATCTGAAAAATAAACACGCACACAAAAAGCGAAACAAAAACAACTTTTTGAATCGCCATGAAATAATAATAATGTTTCACAGCAAAAATAGCCTACATAATAAAAATGGTTGAAATTAATTAATTAAGAAAAACAAGTGCAGCGTGCGGTGCATCTGCAGGTCTAAACAAGAACAATAGCGCGTTATTCTACGTTTTGATTGCGGGCGGCCGAAATGATTGCAAACGTTGGATGATGCATCACATCACGTATGCCAATTATAATCATCATCAACATCAAACTGTAAAAATGTAAATTACAGCTGCTCTGTGTGTGTGTGTGTGGTGTGTGTCACAGGGCAAAGAACAACAACAATCAAAGGGCGATCCGCCGCAATAAGGCAGAAAAACACGACGACGCCCAAAAGTATGCTATAAAATTATGCACTTTACAATTGCACTCAAGGCAGGCAGGCAGGACACAAATGTAAGAGAGAGCAAGCGAAAGCAGGAGAGCGTTAATGCTGCCATTTTAGCTATTTTATAGCTATTTCTGGATATGCTTTCAAATTCGAATATTTATTTATTTTTGGTATTTAATTTTAGTTTATTAAAATATTTTTTATACTTCTGTTAGTTTCTTTTAATTTTTTATTTTATTTTTATTTCACTTTTTTTTATTTTATTTATTTTTTTTTTTATTGTATTTCATTATTATAATTTTAATTGTATTTGGTTGGATGTTTTTTTTAAACCTTTCTTAACCCGCTGTTTTTTAGCAGCACTGGGGAGCACTGAACAACTGTAAGTCGAGTGAGTAGGTGAAGGTATGAAGACAGAGACAGTGAGAGAGAGGGGAACGAGTGGAGTGGCAGACAATACAAACATAACTGTGAATTTAGATTACTTGTGATTATTATGAAGGCCTATGAAGGCTTCGTGCCAAAAACAGTAAACATGTCTCTAGCTCGCTCCATTTCCCTCTCTTCTCTTCACCACTCTCTCTCTATTCACCTCTCTCTCCATCTCTCCCTCCTCCGCTCTCCATCTCTCGCCTCTTGCATGCATGTGCAATGAAATCCATTCTACAAAGTGCACTTCTTAACGATGCCCCATTCTTAGCATACACCATCATAATCGTAACCATGTTCCGTATTTCTGGCATCATAAAACAGCACTACAGCCAGCAGCAGCACACAATCGACCGTCCGTCCGTCCGTGTCCTTTATGGCACCCCCCACAATATAAAAAGCGGCCCAAAACACTCATTGCCCCGCGCCTAATGCCAGTAGCTTGAACTAAATTTCGCTTTAGTTTATTGCACTTTTTTTTTAATAGGAGTTTTGCATTTTCAACTAATTGCTAGTAGGTTCTTTTTATATAAAAACTTAAGTTAAATGAATAAAGTGTAATTATTTCCGTAATGGAAAATCAGAGATCTTTGAATATATAGAATTTCAAGGGTTAAAAACAAAAGATTGAGCGTGAAAGGCTTTTAACGGCAAGAAAAACCCAATGTAAGTTAATCTTAATAAAAAGAAGCTACAAATATCCATCGAATAGCATTATACGATACACCAAAAGTGCAATCAATTCATAAAAAATCCAATGCCGCCCTAAAAAATAGGCAACATTTTCTTATTTAAAGCAAAGTGAAAAAAAAATCAAAATTAATTTGACCAATTTTTGTGTGAAATTTGTTTATTTAATTAAATTTAATTTAATTAAGTTTAGAGTGTCTGACTTAGAGTGAAAAAAAAATCAAAATTAATTTGACCAATTTTTGTGTGAAATTTGTTTATTTAATTAAATTTAATTTAATTAAGTTTAGATTTTTTTCACCCAATTTTAGATATTTTAGATAAAACTTCCAACATATTCCAACGATAGGGAACAACTGTTAGGGGCACTTTTTGATATTATATTATTTTATTATATTATATAGTACGACTCGTTTAGCTCGCATTAACGAACTCCTGCATATACTTTAATGTCCCACTCAATTTCTTCAATGCATCTCTGGTATCTGGAACATCTCTGAATATTAAGTTTAAGTTAAATTTGCTTTTTCTTAATAATTTCTTGGCCTGTGCCCCCTTTGCACTATGGGAAATTTGACCACTTTTTCTGGCCAAAACCCATTTTTCAAAAGTAGTTAAAATAATATATTTGTAGACCTCATATATTCTCATATATTCAAAGCTTTGAATGCCCCTTAATAAGTCAGATTTAAAATATTACGCGGCGCATCAATGGCGTACGATTGAAATGGATATTTGGGCATCAGTTTCAGGGATTTGGCATTGGGGGGCATCAGGGGGATTGGTTACTCTGCTTGAGGATTTTGGGCTCATCAGTTTCAGGGATTGGTGGATTGGTTGGCTGGCTTTAATGACTGGCAAAAAAACGCAGCTGCTTATTAACAATAATTTCCCCAAATGTGTGGTTACGTTTAAGCCCCAACAAATGACACCAGAACAAAAAAAAATAAACACAACCCCCCAAGCAATAATTATATTGCCTGTTGCCAGCCTCCAATGTTGTATCTGTATTTACAATTATTAACGTGTATGACATACGCACACACACACACACACACACAGCCACATGCATAAATGAAGGGCAGAAGAAAACAGCAAACATAAAGTGGCGGCAGACTGCATATGCGGTGGAGGGAGGGGAATCCTCCGACAAATGTGCGGCAGCCACAGCAGCAATAATAATGTATCTGTATCTGTAGCTGTATCTGTAGCTGTGTGTGAATAATGATAAATGTCTCTGTGTGTGTGTGTGTCCTGTTGTTGCTTTGGGGGCCCCACAATTGTTGCCTCCTGTGTGTTGGCGTTGGCCTTTTGTGTATGTCTATGGGGCCCAAGCAATTAAATTAAACTTAACACAGGGCCACGGCCCAGGGTCCAAAAGAGAGCTGTTAGCGGGCGTAGAGAGGGAACAGAGAGACAGATAGAGCGATCTCCAGCTGGTGCTGCTGCTGTTGCATGTTTATTTGTGTGTGGGTGGGGCGTGGCATTGGCAATCAGCAGTTACAGTTACAGCAGCTAATTATAAGGCATAGACTACTGGAGGTTTAACGACACACCAGAGACTGCCGCTCCACCAGCTCCACTCCATTTGGCGGCCACTCCACGAGGCGGGCTCAATTACATTTCAATAATATTGGATTGGTTTGTTGGTGCCCCCCAATCGCGGCACTTTTTGTATTTTATTAAGCAGATGTAGGGACCAGTGGGTTGGGAGTGGGGGTGGTATTCGCCGCGTAATTACCTTACGATTTTAAAGGATTTGTGGCTGGGCTTATAGAAGTCTCAAGGAATTTTATGATCAAAGATTTGAACCTCTTTAGAGTATTAGAAAAAAATTATCCTAATAATTAATACTCCCATTTCTATTCCTACTTTTACTTTTACTGCTGCTCCTCTCTACTCATCTCCTACTTTTGATCCTCCTTCTACTGCTACTCCTCTACTAAATACCTGTACTACTCTACTCTACTTCTACTCTTACTGCTTTTACTCCCGCTCCTCTTCAACTTTCCATGTAGTTTTAATCATGTCAAGAGCTCCCTACTTATTCCCTGCCGAAATCTCTAAGTATCTTTAGTCCCCTTGCCATCTGTCATGTTTTCGACATTAATTCTTGGCATTTTATGGTTAAATATACGGTTGTACTCTCTCTTGATTTTCCATCTCGATTTTCCTTCTTGATTTTCCCCATTTTTGGCAGCTACTTAATGCCTTCATCAAATGAAAACAACAGAATATTACGTTGCCCAGGTCTGGCTCTTCCTCTGCCTCTCCCTCTCTGGTTCTCTGTCTCTGTCTCTCGCTAGATGCATCTCTGAAATGTAATTTCAATTGAAATATCAAAAAGATAATTACCATAATAATATTGCAGCAACCAACAAAAGGTAACAGTGTGGAGAGCGTGAGCGTGAGGGAAATGTGTGGTAGGTGGGAAGAGAGCATAAGAGGAGGAGTGACACAACACAATGGCAGTAGAAATAAATGCAAAATGGAAAGGCGAAAATAGTGCACAGAACCAACACGATAGAGAGAGAGAGAGATAGAGAGAGAGTGGGGGGGGGGAGGGAAGTGAAATTTATTACCGCCAAATACATCGTGGGGTGGTGAGGAGTGTAGTCCCATAAAGCGCTTTTCCACGCACACACACACACACACACATATGTATTTTAGTAGCAGAACCCACACATATAAAGCACATTAGCGATTTGAAATCAACTTCAGGGAAACAGAGACAGAGAAACAGGGTGGGGGTAAAGTGTGGAGACAGAGAGAGAGAGAGAGGAAACTCACGGGGGAATTCTTATGGCACAAATTTGAATTTTATTTGCTACTTCCGTCCCCCGTCCTTCCGTCCTCGTTCGTCTGTCCCGTCCGTTCGTCGCGTTTATTGTTCGACTGCTGCGCCTCGCATGAGTACTCCCCACATCGCACGAGCTACGACTGCCGTACGTTGCCGTTGCCATTGCCGTTGCAGCTGCACCTGCCCCGCTGCCCCACTGCCACACTGCCAATGAAGTTGCATATATCCAGCAGCATTTTGCTATTTTGCCACAGCCGCAATAGCAACTAAAAGTGAGTGCAGCAGGAGGCACAGGCACTGGCACAGGCACAGCCACAGCCACAGTCAGCTAATGTGCCGCACAAAATTTGCATAAAAATAAATTCAAACGCATGGAAAAATTAAGTCAATGAATAAAAGTTTTTAGCTCAGTTTTTGGAGTTAGCTTAAGGCTGCACAGGCAGGCAGCCATCGCCAGTGAATGCATTTGAGTGCGAGCCAAATATTGAATATTACGCTAATTCGAAAGTGATGATTGAAAACTGAAATTGAAAAATACTTTATGACAGGGGATTTATGGAATAATTGCAAGCAAAATAATAGTTGAGCAGTGCGTTAACGATTCGCATTCTTTTAACAAACTCCCCACATTTGTACATATATATTTAAAGGATTCCTGCGTTAACCTTGGCTTCCATGGGAGTCTACTTCACCGATCGTTTGGTACGTCCCATCGTTCATGGAGAGCGGGTTCCTGAGTGCATGTCGGTTCGCATTTTGGTTGCGGGGATTGACAATGCAAATATTTCGTGGAGCTTGTCGATAATCAGCACTCCAGCGACGACAAATATAGCAATCAATTTTGTCAAAGAAAGTTTCGAAAAGGTGATAAAAAACTAAAGTTAACATGAGTGAGTATATGAAAATCCATTTGATATTCGGTCTCGTATTTTCTGCCCTGAAATTTAAATAATAGTTATTGGAATCAATGGTTGATCGTTTTTAGCTTTCCAAGAACTTACGATTGCAGTCTGTCACCTGGCACATAGCAAAAGAATAATGTTTGATTTAATACGGGACCCAGGCTGCAATTGAGGCAATCGGATTGATGGCTTATAGCTGGGGCGGCCATGTATGGACTTACTTTCGTTGCGAATGCTGCCATCGTGTCCATGTAAAAGTATCCTATTTGCTCGATCATGGCTATATGGATATTAAATAGCTGCGGGGCCATTTCTTCCAGAGACTCTGGTTCCATTAATGGATTCATATATTTATCTGGATCATAATTTTGTATAGTTTCAATGTACGGTTGCAATATTGGACCATCAATCCACGATATTTTCGCAATTTTTGGTTGCTTATTTTTCCAAAATGGCAGCCAGGTTATGGCAGGATTGCCATTGGATATAAAGTAGAATAGAATCGAATATATCAAGCCCGTCAATGTGCCCTGGCTGGTCTCTTGTAGCTCACCCAAGAATTCCTTACATTTTTGTAGCAAATCCATTATTTGACGTTCTATCTTTTACTTGGCTAAGGGAAGTTACTAATTTTAGATATTTTATAAGTAATGCTAGCTACTGACAAATCGACATAAAACTAAGGGCAAGCTGATTAAAATTAAACCTCTGCCTTATCTCTCTCTCTCTCTCTCTCTCTGTCATTCGCATGGCTCCTCCTTTATTGGTGCCTCTTTGGGTCACGCAAGAGAATATGTAGCGGGGTACGCTGCTGAAGTAAACATCATCACGGTCAATGGGTTTTAATTAGCTGCCATTTTGGGACCTGCTGCCGGTCGCAAGTAAAAAGTGAATTTGTAACCCGAAAAACGTAATACGAATGCCGCCAGGGCATGGCCATTGCCTACTTTTAAGCGCATAAGCAAATTATTTTTGTGTGTTCTCGGATATTTAAAGGAACTTTATACTAAATTTTGATTTCTGAAAACTTTTTAAAAATGATCTCGGGAAATACAGGATTGTGATTTTATATGTGGAAAAGTTATTTGAGTGGGCTTCTATCATTATTATATTTTTACATAGTTTTATTTATTTATTTTTATTAAAAACTTTATTTTCAATATATTTATTATTTATTAATTTTACTATTTATTTAATAATTTATTATTTATTTAATTCATTATTTTTTTATTTTATTATTTATTCATTTTTTTTAAACTTATTTTTACTACTATTTTTAATTGGTAAAATCAAAGAATATCCCCATAGAAAATGCATGGAAAAATCAAGGAATATATCATAGAAAAGTCATTGTCAAATATGTAATACGCTTTCAAAGCTTCAAAAATATTCCCACTCCTCTGTAAGCCTCCCATTAAGCCCGACAATTGTAGATTTTCCAGTCTTCTAATATACATCAATCCTTGAAAAGCCATAGAAATAGGCGTCCCGAACAAATCCCCTCCAAAAATGGTCTAAAATTTGGCAGCAGCTCTTACAGAAACAAATCAACAAAAAAAATCTCCACAAAAGCTGCCGAATTTTTAATTAAATCTCGTTGCATATTTGAATTGTTCATGCAACCAGACAGAGGCATTCAGAGAGAGAGACAGAGAGAGAGAGATAGATAGAGAGAGCATCCATCGAGTTATAACTTGGATGGGGTAATACAGGTGAAAAAAGGTGGAAAATGAACACGAAATTTAAATGAATTTCAGTTTGCAGCAACAGCAGCAGCGACATTTTGTTTATGGAAATATTTATACATTTTTATTTTATTTCTAAATTTTTAATTGAATTACAACAGATTTGTAAATGGAAATGAAGGGTATACTATACTATATATACTCGTATCTACAAACATACATATATATAGGAATTTTTCATGTGTATATTTTTAGAGAATAATTTCCATATGTCGCCACCCGATGCCGCTGCCTCTTTCGTTGAATGTCAGCTGACAAATTGCTAATTGAAAGAGCTCTATAGGGAAGCTCTGACATGAACTAGGCGTGCCATACGCCCCCACACATACACACATGTTGGTTGTGCAGCAAGAGTTTGCTCTGAATATCCACTGACCTGTGCGAGTCGCGTCGCATTTGTTTGCTCCCAAATGCAGAGAGAGAGAGGAGAAACGCGAACATGGGGGGTATGGACCCGCCTAACGATGCAGGGGCAGGAGCACCCCTTAAACTGAATGCAGGCAGTAGTGTACTCCGCCCCCTCTTCGCTTCCCACTGATTTATATGCAAAACGCGCAACAAAACGACGGAAAAAAAAAACAGTTTTCAATTAAATTTTCGTTTGAGGAGTTGTCGTCAGTGGCTGGGATTTTCGAATTTGCCAAGGCTGTCGTATAATTTATTAGCATTAACATTAACCCTCCTCAGCGCCCCGTGCCGCCCACCCACAGCCTTCTTCGTCTCCATCAAATCGCGGCTCTCGAATCCAATAACAGATAAAAAAAAACGAGGACCAAAATTTGTGACAAATTTTCTTTTCACTTTGGAAAATTAAAAACCCAGAGAGAGAAAACAAAAAAAAAAGAGAGAGACAGCAAGAGAAGAGAATATTCTTTTTCATTCATCATCATTGCAGAAATTTGCTTGATGAAGCGCCCAGAGAGAGACTCGCTCCCCATACCCTGGAAAACAAAACGAGGTACACGCGACTTTATAACGCATTGGCAAAGTCCTTTTCCATTACATATTTTCGCTGAGAGATGTTGGAGTTAGGGAAGTATTGAGACGCCTGTGATTGTGGATTTTTTTAACACTTTCAGCTAAGTTTTCAGCATTTTCCAGACATATGGTTATGATAGTTCCATGAGCTATGATTTGACATTACAATAGTACGGAAATTAGCGGGTTTTGTTCTCTTCTTAATGTGAATCTTAGTGGCTTTATTAGGTCTTTAAATCATAAATCTTTCGTATTGATTGCTATACTAATCCTTCCATTTGTTTGCCTCTTTCTAGTTTCCTTTTCTCATAAATTGCCTCTATAAAAAAGAGTATTCCCATCCCTACTCTTTTCTAGATGAAAGTTTTTTTGCCTTGTATTTTTCTGGCGACTGCAAACTTAAATCCGAAAGGCATTTGGATATTGATTTACGTTTACTTAAAAGGCAATATCAAATTGCAAAAGCAGAAACTCAGCCAAGCAGGCAGCAGGCAGCAGCAACCCTTAGCCCTGACAGACAGTCAGGCTACCCTCCCCCTTCCCCAGGCTCAGCCCCACTGCAGCACCCCACTCCCTGGTACTGCCGCCTCCTCCCTATGGAAACATATCGAAAAATGCGAAAATTGTACAATGAAAATTGAAGTGAAATTAAACTAAAGCCCCGAGGCGATAACGACTGAATATCCCCACTGTGTGTGTGTGTGCCCAACAATCCGCACAAGTCCGTAGTACCGTAGTACACCCCCCTCCTGTGTGTCCTCTTTCGACTTGTTGGCATTCATTTAGCTCTGTGGCCTGTCCTGCCTCACGAACCCCCAACTTTGGGACACTTAAGCGTCCGTCCGACTGCTGCTGGTGCTGCTGATTCGAGGGCCAAGAATGTGACGACAATGTTCTTCCCCCCCTGGCAGTACCTACCATCATCATCCCACACTTCTCCGCATACTTTCTAATGAGACAAAAATTGCGATTTGAATGCAAATAACTGCAGGGGCTGTTGCTGCCCTGACTGCCTGGCTCCTTCAGACGGACAACAATTACATGGCAATGGAGTGGATCCTGGCAACCTGAAATGGGATTGGAGAGGGGAGGATGGAATGTCTGGGATCTGTATCTGTATCTGAGATTCATTTTGGAGGGGGCAAAACGGTGGCAGGGCGAAGCTTTTGTGTCAAGGGGCATTTAAATTTGACAAAATGAAATGTAGAAAATATTTCGGTTTCGGTTGCGGGTCCAGTCTCTCTCTCTCTTGGCGGCGCTGCTCCCATTTTAATGAAGTTCTTAAAAAGGTGGCCGCAAACAAAAAAGAGAGGAGTAAGAGGGCCACAAAAGAGAGGGAGAGAGGGAGAGAGAAATGTGCCCAGAAGAGGGAGGGAAAAAGGAGAGCTAGGGAAGAGGAGCCAAAGCTAGGTGGTTTTTGTTACCTCGTATTTGCATTTAATTAAATGCCAATAATTGAATCAATTTGCACCCATGGAATGTGGCATGGAAAATCTGTGGAACTAATCAACAAGAGCCTTGCCTTGCCCCTCCACTGCCCCTCCACTGAAACGTTGTTCGTTGGTTAACTTTCGCCAGGCACTGTGCATATTTGGATTTTATTAATTTGAAGGACGTAGTACCCACCAGGACACTGGACGGACAGGACACTGGCACTGGAGTAATAGGCCATAAAGCCACAGGAATGTGGCCAGGGGCAAGGGGAGAGGAGTTAGCCTATAAGTATTTTGTCATAGCCTCTTGGAAATACCTTCGAAAACATTCCGAAATTTAATTTGATTTACTTCGTAGTCGTTTCATTGGCATTCCTCTTCGAAACGTTTACCTATACGTCCTGTGGATACTGTGGCTTTTTAGATGGCAACGGAATTTCTAGTTAACCAATTTCTGTCTCGTTCCCTCTCCCTCTCGCTTTTTCTATTTGCTACCAACAAAATATTTGCTGTCAAAATTTTAGAGAATTTATTTCTTGTTTTTCATTTGTTTTTTTTTTGCTTTATTATATTAATAAAATTGACATTTGAAATGGAATTTTGAATGTTATTTATGTACTTTATTAGAGCAAAGGAAGTTGGAAAGGAAGAGGAAGATAACGAGAACGTTTAATACATTCCAAAGAATTTTCAATTCCATCATAAAGTCACAGAATCGGAACCTATCACTGAGATTTAAAATTAAATTGAAAATTGAATAGAAACTTGCTTCAAAAAATAGTTAGAACTTCTACTAATATCTTTTATTTACTATTATTTTTTCCATGTTAAATGCTCTGTTTACGCTCCTCCATCTTGGAGAGTATTCCCACATTCGTTTTCCAACATTTCTCTCTATCTCTCTCTCTTCATTTAGTTAACGTTTCGTGTGTTCATTCGGCTGGTTGGCAAAATTGATTTAAATTTCATTTCGTTTTCAATTTCCTTATAAAATGTTTTCTCTGTACAAATCAAATTTTAGCAACTAATTATATGCATATGTGTTTTTATCTCTATTTTATTTTTGTCCTGAATATTTGCTTAAAATGCAGGACTTGCGCTTAATAAAAACCAATCAAATATTTATTGCCATCTTTTTTTGTATCGAGAGATGTTTTAATTTTTTTATATTTTGTGTGTTGTTAGCTTGTTTTGATTTGATTAAATGTTAACATTTTGCACAAGTTAACGCCAATAAATAAAGGCAAATAGTTGGGGCGGAATATTATATAAATATTGCAATTGCAATTCCGTTTTTTCAGCATATGAAAATACCTTTAATTTAATTTCAAATACATGTATAATGCGAGGGGGGGTGATGCGCGCTCGGCTGCCCTGTCACAGATTAAAGTGTTAATGCAACATAAAGTGTTGTTGTTTCTATTTGTTGTTTCTGTGTGTGTGTGTGTTTCTATTTTTTGCGGTTGCATCAATGGTTTAGCGAACAATTTGCATTGCAGCCGCAGAGATACAC